CCAAAGAAGAAAAAGCCGAAGAGGAAGCCTCTTTTTGTGAAGAATGGCGCAATTGTTGTTTGCCGCATTCAGGTATTCTCATAGATCATCTAAAAAGCATTCCTGTTATGAGTTCTGACTGTTAATTTCAGGCTCTGCTGATTGTAATGTGTTTTGATATTTAGGTGAATAACTTGATATGCATAGAGAAGTTCTCTGATTTCCCTCAGCTTGGAAGGTTTACACTTAGAACTGAAGGTAAAGCTTCATGCTTGGAAGCATATTTTCATTCCATGTTCATGTAGAGAAGATCATCTATGATGTAACATATGAGATCCTATGTTTCCCTTTTGTTTGTTACTCCCTCCGTTCAAAATTATTAAGACGTTTTGGCATTTTTAATACAGTTGCTTTTACTATGTATCTAGATATATCTAAGTGCATAGCAAAAGCTACATACCAAGACATTTTATAATTTGGAATGGAGGTAGTATTTTTTGTGGTCATCTGAAATTCCATTTCTTTTACTTCTTGATTCTATACTTATGTACTTAAACATAGTAAGGATAAGGATTATGATGCCTTTCCTATCTGTATTTAATTGTTTGTCGAGGTAACTTTTTCTTGTGTGAAGTAACTTATCGTCTCGTTCTTACCTTGTTATGGTTACAGGAAAGACGGTAGCTGTAGGCAAAGTTGTTGATGTTCCGCCTGCTGGCAGCCCAACATTCTGAGCTTAAGCCAATTTTGAACAGGATGGTAAGCAGAGAACAAATTACATTGAATTATCTTTTCTGATGAAGAGTTTCACATATGAGAAATCACCTTTCTTGACAGGATAATCATGAAGCAGTGTGTTCTCTTGAGATACTTTTTTTTTTTTGGGGGGGGGGGGGGGGTGGAGAATTGAGATTAGTTGTTGAGCATAGATTTTTTCCAGCCCAGCTTGAGAATGTTTAGGCTAGCAAGTCAGTGTTTAGATTGGTTGCATAATATTGCATCTCTGGTTACATGTGAGGTTGTAAAATCAGTATGGATGAGTGTACCAACCTTAATGTACTGTGCCAAATTGTGGTGGTATCTTTGCATACAATGCTGTAACTATCCAGTTTTGTGTGAAGTTAAATATTAGATGGCCACAAGTGGGCAGGCTGCATTACTCGGATTTGCAGCGTCGGAAGTTCCAACTGTCATGACATGCATACGCTACTCGAAGACCTTTAAAGCCGAGTAGATCTTGATATTGGTGGAGTCAACTGTAATCATTAGCTTAGGGTTAGCTGTAGATAGCTGAAGACTCAGAACTTTTGATGAAAGGTAACAGATAAAGAGTTTTGTCATTAACTCCCTTTGTCCCGCAAAGTATGCCATTTACTTTTGTGTTCTGGATGGACACAACTTTTTGTGTAAAAATTCGGTTTGAGTTTAACAGAGATGTGCATTTCCTCATATACATTGTACATATCATATTACCTTTTCTAAACCATGAATGGTTGCTTTGATCTCCACACTTGATTTGCTTCTGGATTTTTGACTTCATCTATTCTAAGATGCAAACCAGGAAAAGTAGTCCCGTTCTATCTTTCGTGGACTGTCTATCTACAACACTAATAATCAGGAACGGCTTTCTTATCACCAGGGCTCTGTTTTTTAAATCTTTACAGGATCTGAAAATTCTCGAGTTGGATGGGTGAGAAATGTAAGTCCACCTTAGCAGCAAGTTCGATCTGTGTTCTTCTCTGTACCAAAATGCATACTTGATGTTGATGATGTCCCAAACTGTCTCTGGTTTGTTAATTGTTTGCATCCCAATTGACGAAGGAACCTACTGATTGATGGAAGGCAGATTTTCCACAACTTTTAATCTATGCCTACTATACCCTACAAAGTAGAATATTTGTCAACAGCATACTTACTGTTGAACCTGTAATTTTGCACTTTCTTTGACTTGGGTAATGAAATTAAATAGCATTTTGCTTACAGCTCCTCGCTTTATCCAAGATGGTAGATGTTGACACTTTGCACTTAATTGTTTAAGACTTGCACCGCTCTAAGGCCCTGTTTGAGGGTTCTCTTCGGCTCCATCTCCAGCTCCTCTAGAGGTGCCCTACCAAACACTTTTGTAGGAGGAGCCGTTTGGAGCCCTATTTCAATGAAAAATGGATGAGCGAGCCCTTGAGAAGGAGCCCTGCCAAACACACCATAAGTAATCCCTTACAGTGCATCGTCCATCTCTTGTATAATTCGAGTCTTAGTTGTGATCCACATGACTGAATTAGAATATACCTTTTTCTACTCAATTGGATATAGTTTAGAGTATACATTATTATTTATTAAGAATTTCTTGCTCATTTGCTGTAGCCATCAACCCATCATGTGCCTTGTACATCAGGTCAACAAGCAGATAATTTGTAGAAGGCCCTATATAAACAGTTGAACGGTTTGCCCATTTTGGAGGCAAAAGCAAGCCTGAACCCTTTCCCAAAGAGTCCATCTTCGTGTTGATATCCGCCCGCACCCCCCCCCCTTCTCTCTCTCAACATGTTCGTGGTTGAGAACAAGGGTGGTGCAATCACCCTTATGCTGGTGGCACTCTGATTTGGCGGTACCTTTGGTCCTCTAATGCTATTCTTGGAGTGTAGGGGCCGGCTGCCTCAGAACATATATCTTGACTATTCGATCGCCAACTTCCTTGCTGCCGTCTGGATTGCTGTTACCGTTGGTCAGCTTGGAGAGAGCAAGGCTGACATCATGCCAAACTTCTTCACGTACTAAGCTACAGCAGGAGCAAGGCTTGACCACGAGGCCTCGTATGGCGGCAGATTCGCCGCATGGAGGTGCTGGTTAAGTCGGCCAATTGCTCAGGCACCCCAACGCAGTATTGCTTACCAATAGTCCAATACTCTTTCAATTCCTACTTTTTTTACTCAAGTTATGCATCGATTTCTACGGATAAGTTTTCCAGGTTTTAATATCCAATAACAGGTAAGGATGCTCCGTGTAGGTTCTAAAACAATGTTTTAAATCTCTAGTTCAAGGTATTTAGCGGATGACCTTAAAACAGCTATAGCAAAGGTTAAATGGAGCTATAGCGGGCTATATCCGCTAAGTTGTACATAAACACAAATAACTTTAGCCTCAGCCAGCTATAGTCGGAGATTTAAAACCTTATTCTAAGCCATAATTCTGTGGCATCTTATTCATGTCTTTGTACACCTTTGTGCACACTGTAGTTTGGAAAAAAGTTATGATCCAAGTTCATTTAGTTTTTTCTCGATCACACAAAAGGTTTACGTGTCTTTGTATTAAGGCAGAGAAAATGTTCGTTACAATACGTCTTAGCGGTGTCCTAGGGAATTAATAAAGTTTTATATGAACATTCAGACCCTTTCTAATGTACAAGAGATACAAAATTCGGCGGGGATGTAATTTTGAGTCCCAAGAACATGCTATGCTGGAGCCAGACGCCATTTTATTGATTTGATTGTTTGAGCGGGTAACTTGTGGGAAATTTCCAAGTTAAGGGACACTTTAGGAAATCGAGAATGCTAGAGCACAGGCGTCTGTCCCGTGACCTGCGCCCGGATGCCTATATCGCGCGGCACCACTCGTGCCGCTCGCTCGCATCACAAAAAATAAAAACAAAAAAGGAAACCATCGACGCGCTACGTACCCGCGGCTACCGCAGGTGACATTGCTGCGGGCTCCGCACTGTCCGTTTCTCCACCCCCAGCCTCTCCTTTCTTTCTCTCCTGACGTGGCCCTAAGGGCGGCCACCTCCGCACGCTGCCCCAGCTGTGTGGCGCATCCCCTGGCGGGGTGGCCACTCACCCGCATCGCGCGTCGCGTGCCTCAGCCCACTCTGCCTCGTTGCTCCTTCCACCAGATCCACTGCGCGGCAAGAGATCTGATGGTAGTGGGGACTGTAGTAGGCAGAGTCCATCTGGTCAATGTTTGGCATTGGTCGATGGTGGCGACGGCGCGGCTGCCTCCGGTGAACTCCACGCGCCGACGAGCCTCCTTTTCGCAAGCAGCAAGGAGATGTTGTGATGTGCTGAAAACGCATGTTGCATATGTATATTTTAAATGTTTAAGATGTTTTAGAGGTATGTTGCAATTGTTTCACACGGATATTACAAAAGTAGATCGGGATGTTGCATATATTGCAATGGTTGTACACGTATGTTGCAAGCGTCTGTTCCCAATGTTTCATCTGTGTTTTTTGGACGTATTGTTACAAGTGTGTTTATCTGAATGTTGCATATGTTTCACACATATGTTGCAAATGTTTGATCTGGATATTACGTATGTTTGCAATGGTTTCTAAGTGTTTTTGCAAGTGTTTTAAAAGCATGTTTTTAAGTGTTTTATTTGTCATCAGACGTTGTAAGTGTCACATCTAAATATTTTAAAAGTAGATCGGGTGTTACAGGTACGAAATACGCGTGACAAGCGGAGAGGGTCTGGTGGCATGGGCGGCGTCGGGCATCGCGGGCCCTGCATGGGCATGTGAAACCGAGGCACGGGCGGAGGCGTGCTCGTTTATTTATTTATCTATTTTTGTAAGTGCGGGCATGGATTTGCTGGTGCGAGCGCGGGCGTCCAGACGCGGGCCTCGGCCGGATTCCGTTAGAAAGTTCGAATGGTTTATGTTGTCTGCCCGGCCCATGGAAGCCCGGAATTGATATCTGTGCGGCCCACGGCCCATGGCCCAAACACATGAGCGAACATTCTCCCCGGCCGCGCCGCCGCCGCACTTCTTCTCCCGTTCCGTCCCTTTCTCCAAGCCGGGGCATCTCTCCTGTACGAAGATAGCCTTTCTGGAGGCACCATCCATCCCTTCCCCTTCATTTAATCTGCCGTTTAATCTCAATCAATCTCTCAAAAAGCTGTTCTTTTTTCCTTCTTTTGTGTATTGTATCAATCAGATTCAGATCGCACAAGGAAGAGTAGATATACATACCAAGCAGGTCTAGGGGGAAGTCTGAATGAATTAGGCTCCCAAGTCGAGATCGAGGAGGATGATCCGGCGGTTCGTGAATGTCGTGGCGGAGAACTGCAAGACCGGTATATACTCGCTGCACCGCCTGGACGTCTCCAAGCATCTCTTCCATCAGTCAAGAGCCGACGCACGGGTGGTGCCGTTCCTAGCAGAAGCACAGGACAACAGCAGTGATGAGCAGCCGATGCTGGACAGGTTGAAAGAGCTGCCATCCGCCATGACTACGTGGAGCAGCTCCAATGTGGATTACTTCTCACTTCTGGGCTCCCGCTGCAAGGAGGGTAGGATCCTCTGCATGAACAAGGTGGGCACCGCTGTCCTCTTTGACCCCCATTCGAGTTCCAATTTCATCATGCCAGGCCTGAATCAGTTCGAGGGACCCGTGCCTGTGTCAGTCTCTGTTGCCCCGGCCGGTGACAAGGAAGAACAGTTGTACATCATGCACGGTGGTCCTGATGGTGGACTGGAATTGAACTCCAACTATCACTTCAACGTCCTCAGATATGGCCCCCCGTTCTGTTGCCCTTGGAGCGATGTTAAGGGTTGGTATTGGCAGTCTCTTCCAGTGCCACCCTTTGTCGACGATCCGCAATACAAATACAAACCAGCCGTCATCAGCTCTTACACCGTGGTGGACAGTGGCCACACGATCGTCTTCAGCGGCAGAGGGCATTGGAACTTATTGCTTCAACGCAATGAGTTGCGAATGGAAGCGTGCTGCCCTTCACTGGCAAAGCTGAGTACATCTCTGATCTTAAGCTCTGGCTGGGCTTCTGCCTCCGCAGCCCTGGTTCCCTTTGTGCAGCGTCTGGACTCTCTGACATGCTCATGGATCACAAACCAATGTCGTCGCAGATTGCCTGGCCTGATCACACGCCCAAGGAGTGGATGGCAGTAAATGTTAAGCTCCTCAGCCTGGGCTCAGGTTTGCCGTTGCTAAGGTCTTCAGAGTTGTGAGCAACACAGAGGAACCAGGCTTGTTTTCTGAGCGGGATACAGTTGAGGATGAGCTTGTTGTCCTGAGTGGCGTGGAGCTTGAGTTCAGAGGCAAGGATAATAATGACCTACAAGGGCTCAAGTTGTTCCAGCACAAGTCCATCTGTTACACTTGTGCCAACAGTACTGCCATACGCTATGTGCTATAAATGAAAGATCAGTATCGTTGGCTCTAGTCTTTTAAGCATTTCCTTCTTAGCTATTGTGTGCATTAGATAAAGCCTGTAAGAGACTACTGAGTGAAACATGGTGTGGGTTTGTATACCTGATTTTTCGCTCATAATTGGTTGTCTAAACAATAGGATAGACTTGCTATTTATCTGTTGACTTGCTCTGAGCTGTTTGACAGAGTACTCTTTTTTTTCCGAAGGATTTCAGGAAGGCTTTTGATTCCTTGTTCCTACTCGTCTCATGGCTAGTATGGAAGAAGAGGAACAGCCCCATCTTTGACAAGTTCGCAACCATGCCGGCTTGGTTGCTGCCGTCAATTAAGCTGGAAGCAGATGTTTGGGTAGAAGCAGGTTTCAGCCGTCTATCTGTCTGCGCTTCTTGTGCGCTGGTAGCTCGTTAATCCTCTGTAATCTAGCTTAGTGCTTCCTGCAGTTTTTTTTTTTTTCTATTTCGTCCTGATGTGTGGCAATCTGCGGTTTGCCTTGTGTTTGTGATGGTACCCTTTTAATGAAAACATGCTATTTGGCGCGTTCGCGAAAAAAAAAAGATTTTTCCTGTTAAATCATATGCTGTGCATGCCTTGCTAGGTGCAGTATGCAGAGGCCTGTATATAGCCCAAAACAAGTATTATAAAATCACTGATCTTCATGTCTGTTGTGTGGCTACAGTGCAAATTTGTTACTACTACTTAAATAGCCCCCCCCCAAAAAAAAAATAATATACTTGTTGTGCAGTCCTTAATTGGTTCTTTCCAGTTTATATAAGCAGATTGGGCATGTCTTGCATGGGTTTATTCATACTGGGTTTTAGCATAATATATAGCATCCACCTCCACGGGTCTTTGTGCCTGGGCTAGATCTCCTGTTGAGCTACCAAGGGCGTAGGAGAATGTAGTACCACAAATGGTCATGGTATTTTCGTGGTACCTTGCATTTCATAACAAGAAGCTCAGAGTCTAGATTTGACGATTCATGAACTGCGTGATAGGTTTTTTCTTTTCCCCAATTTAGAACTTCCTTTATCCTTGCTATGTTCCCAATGTGAGGAGAGTGAAAAAGATAAACAAGATGATAATGTATGCTTTTGTAAATTTCCCCATCAACATATGTAAAATTATGTAGATTAACTACATAACTTAAAATTGTGTCACCACACTTGCTAAGTACTTTGGTAATATATGTTAAAATTAGTGCTAGCATATCATGTTAAGTGACCGTATCGATGTTTGCATCAGAGACTGGAAAAGTGAAAAATGATTGTACCCTCTTTCTCCGAGATACTGTGCTTCTTAATTTTGATTTGCTTTTTACTGCAGTGCAGCGATGCCAAGAATACCATGTTTCTGCAGTTTGTTTTGGGACATATTCTAGGGCATCCAAATAATCAAATGCTACGTTGCAGTTGGAGTGACGCCATTTTATTTATTTGATCGGGAGGCCTAGCGCCCGGACGCTCCTCCGATGCTCCCGCGTCCGCATCCCGTCCCACGCCTCGCGTTCTGCATCCCGCCCCAGCACTCGCACTCGCGTTCGTTGCAGGGACTCGCGCCCCGAGCGGGGAAACCCTGGGTTGACCCACGGCTACGCCCAACAGCAGCGATAGCCACCGGCCGCGCCGTGCAACACTCTGATATACTTTTGCAACATCCAGAAGAAACATTTGCAACATATGTCTAAAACAGATGAAACATTTAGAACATATAGTTGAAACACCATTGCAACATGTGTAATATCTCGATCTACTTTAAACATCCAGATGCAACACTTGCAACATACAAAAGAAGACAGATGAAACACTTGAGACATGCGTCTGAAACACTTGCAACATACATGTAAAAAAAATCAGATAAAACATGTTAGGGATAGACGCTTGCAACATACATAACAACATTGTAACATATACAACATCCCGATCTACTTTTGCAACATCCGCATGATGAAACAATTGAAACATACATCTGAAACACTTGAAACATGGGCTTGCAACATATCTGAAAAGCATCCAGAAACACTCGAAACACAGCATCGCTGTGCGGCCATGACCTACCTGGTGGGCAACTGCGGTGGCGCAGGCTCGCTGGATGGTGTGCGTCCTCACGCACTCGCCATCGGCCGAGGAATAGGAGACGCTGCCGGATCTAGGGAGGGTACCGCCGGCCGGGGTAGGGGAGGGCCAGATCCGGTGGGACACGGGAGAGGGTCGCGCCCGCCATGGAGTGGGGAGAGGGAACGCCGTGGAGGCCGTCGGACTTGAGGGAAGACGCACGTGGAGGAGGGGTGGCTGGATCCATGGAGTGGTGGGGAGGAGGCTTGCTCGAGCCGCCATGGAGTGGGGGGAAAGGGTCGCGGCCGCAGTGATGGAGAAGAAGCGAGCTAACTACGGTGGTGCAGTAGAGGCGCCCGCAACGGTGATGCAAAATGAGGAACGATGCGTTGCTCTATTTTATTTCGTTTTTGTTTTTGAGGAACTTTGTATGCGTGCCTAGAGCAGGCTATGGGCCGGTCCCGTAGGCCCAGCCAGCCGCGTCCAACAGGGGACAGACGCCCGTGCAGTATCATTATCGTTATTCGATTGCTTGAGCTGGTAACTTGTGGGAAATTTTCAAGTTGCAGGGACACTTTAGGAAATCCGAATGGTTTATGTTGTCCGCCCGGCCCATGGAAGCCCATAATTGATATCTGCGCGGCCCAAACACATGAGCGAACATTCTCCCCGGCTGCCGCCGCTGCCGCTCTTTTGCTCCCGTTCCGTCGCCGCTCCCTCACTTTCTCCAAGCCGGGCGTCTGCTTTCTGGAGATACCATCCATCTCTTCCCCTTCATTTAATCTGTCGTTTAATCTTAATCTCGATGGAGGATGATTCGGCGTTTCATGAATGTCGTGGCGGAGAACCACAAATTGTGATTTTTTTTAATTTTAACACTTTTTGAAAACTAATTTTAAATCTAACACGGTCGGTTTTTTTTAAAACTAACACTTTTGGTTGCGCCTATTGCCCTGGCGCGGCCAAATGCCTGTGCCGCATCATGCATGGTGGCGCGGCAGAGGGCTGATGTGGCGGCAACCGGAATCGCTGACCGCTGACGGGGCAGGGCCTGCCGCGCCACCGATCTTGGCACGGCACGGCCGTGCCCTGATCCGTGGCGCGGCAAAGGCAAATAAAACCCGCCGCCCGCCCACGTTCGCTTAGTGGCGAAAGCAACGCCGCTGTTCGAAAGCAAGCAAGAAGAAGGTCTGGCCGCCATGGCATGCCGCCATCAAGGCGCCACCACCACCGCCGAAAGCGTCGCCGCCCACCGACGCCGCTACGCCATGCTCAGCCAGCCACCACCAAATTAAAGCCGAGCATGGCATGGCCGCCAGCCGCCCGGTGCGGCCACCGAGCCCGCATGCCGGCGCGCCACCCCCTCCGGCCACGCACGGCGGCTGCCTGCCGAGGACTACGCCCGCGCCTCTCGGCCCGGTCTAGTGCGCTGCAGCGAGGTACTCCCCTAATAAAGTTAGTAAAATTATTAACGTATAGTTAGTATAGTTAGTAAAGTTAGTTAGTAGAGGTAATATAGTAAGTTAGTATAGGTAGTAGTTAGGTAGTACGTTAGGTAGTTTAGTACAATTATTGAGTCTAGTTATGCATTGGATTTAGTCTAATTAGTTGTTGTAGTTAGCCTTGTATAGATGTTAATATTAGATTAGTTAGTATAGTTATAGTTAGAATATGTATTAATATTTCAACGACTTGATGAAGTTTCTTGAAATGCTTTTGCAGATGGATTGTTGTGTTAGAGTTTTGTATGGAGGAAGTGTCAGGAGAGAAGATAGTATGTTTGAGGATATGGAAGAAGAATTGGAATGGTTTGATGAACCTCCTAGCTTCAACGACCTTTGTGTCTGTTTGAATGCAAAGTTTGGCGGTGGTTTCACACTGAAGGGGAGGTTTGATACTGGAAAGACTAGGGCACACTATGTCCTCATGCCTTGTGCGATCCTGCTCACTGGTCCCGCTACACTAGGGTTCTCTAAGGTTCCAATGTGCCCATGGCTGAGGTGGTGGTGGAATATGGGTACAGGATGCAGGGTGTTCAGGACTGCCCGTCCATTGACGGTGTTGGAGGCAATGAGCAAGAATTGGGGGTCGAAGGGGAAGCAACTCAGGGTAACATGGATTTGGATGGTCAGTTGATGCAGGAGCAGTTTCATTCAACTGTAGTAGGTTGTATAAGCAATGACTTCGATGTGAATGATTTCAAACGGGAAGAGGAAGAGCAGGAGGAGGAGGACAGGATCGGTGATGTAGTTAGCAGTGATTCAGACGATTCTGATGATGACCAAGGAGGTACAGATGCTATGCCAACACCAGTTCATACTATGCCATTACCAGTACCAACTGAGGTTTTGCATGGTGTCCAAGCTCAGGGTAGACTAGTCACAGATTTGGCTGCAGATGATACCCCCTATGATTCATGGGCCAGAATTAGCGAAGTGCAGCAGTATGTTCCACCACCACCTTACACAGCGACTGAGCTTGAGCAACTAAGGTCCAAGAACGTACCTTTCATGGGCGTTCCGGACTATAGGGATGTCAGCATGACGGATATGGTAGTTTGTGACACCGGTCTCCAGATGTGTAGGAATTCATTGTATATCCATGAGAAAGAAACCCTTAGAAAGGGGATGATATTCAACATAATGTTAGAGATGAAACTCTTCCTTTAGGACTATGTTGTGTACCACCATAGGTCGTACACCGTCACTCATTCGGACCAGGAGTTGAGGTACCACGTGATATGCAAAAACGGTTGTATGTGGAGGTTAAATGCACGAAAGAGATAGAGTGATGGCAAGTGGAGGATAACTAAAGTTGTCGAACCCCACACTTGCCTAGATAATAGGGGGAAGGAAAATCATCAGCAACTCACTGCACGTTACCTTGCCCGTCGTATATTAGGGCTCGTTGATGATAATAACGACATCTCGATGTCTTCCTTACAACAGTCCATATTTGGATTCGTTAGGTACGATGTGACATATGGAAAGGCTTGGCGTGCTAAGCAAATTGATCTAACGATTCGATGGGGTACTTGGGAGGAAGCGTACAATAGGGTGCCCGCATCTTATGTGCAATGCATTACTACAACCCTAGCTTGAAATGGTTTGTGGACACCGGAGGGATGTTTTTTTGGGACCCATTGAGGCATGTCCTCTATCGTGTGTTCTGGTTGTTCACGCAAACGGAACATGCATTCCAGTTTTGTCGGCCAGTCGTACTTGTTGATGGCACTTTCCTGACAGGAAAGTATAGGGGCACCTTGATATGGCTGCTGCAGTTGATCCTGAGGACCAGATAGTATCCATGGCTTTTGCTTTGGCAGAGGGAGAGAACAATGAATCGTGGTCACGGTTCATGCGGCTTCTACGTGTGCAAGTGCTTGGCCCAACTCGCACTATATGTTTGATCTCGGACCATCACGCAGGGCTTCTTAATGCTGCAGCTGAGCATATAGATGGGTTCCCGCCTCTAGTACATAGATGGTGCATGAGACACTTTGCCGCTAATTTTTGGCGGCGTCAGCGGAAGCAGGAGGTATGTGACAAGGTAAAGGCTCTATGTTGTGTACGTACAGAGCACCAGTTCAAGGAGACAAAGAGAGAATTAGACAAGATGGTAAATGTAGCGGAAAAGGCCTGGTTAGAGGCACAGATGAAACAGAAGGCTCAGTGGGCATTAGCATATGATGAGGGGTGTTTCAGGTATGGCATCATGACCACTAACTTCTCGGAGTCCTTCAACCGTGTATTCACCGGAGTTCAATTGTTGCCTGTGTCTGGAATTGTTGAGTTCTCCTTTCATAAGTGCAACGAATATTTTGTGAAGAGGTGGGAACTTGCGCAGAGGAATATAGCTGAGCAGGGGTGTTTTGGAAAGGCCGGAGCTGAATATTTGAAGGAGGCCGAGGAATTGGCCAAGTAGCACGCCGCCGAGCCGTATGGACCCCGCCGCCATATCTTTAGTGTATGGGGCAAGGGTGGCACAAGCTTGGGCGGCGAATCGTAATGGTGGACGAAACTACCTACCGAGTTGATCTTGAAAAGGTAGAGTGCAGTTGCAACGTCCCTCAGATCATGCATGCCCCTTGCTCTCATATGATCACGACATGCAGGGTTCGCGGGTACAACTATGAGTTTCTGCCATATATGTCACCCTTGTTTCTCCGTTCGAACACCGTTAGTATTTGGGAGATGAGCTTCGAGTCATACATTGACCCGACACAGTGGCCACCTTATAATGGTTATGACTATGTGCCGCATCCGGATCTAATGAAGGTAGGGAAGGGTAGGAGGAAGAAGAAGCGACTCAAGGGGGACATGGACGCTATGAGAGGGTACGGTGAAGACATGTACGGAGGGGGAGACTTCAACAAGATCCGTGGCAGGAATCTTTGCTCCGTTTGTAAAGAATCTGGTCACAAGGCTAGCAAGCATAGAAGATGAGGGTAGCAGGTGCTTTCATATTGTGGTCGTATTGCATAACAAGTAGTTCAAATTTTGCAATGCTACATAATGTTAATTTGAATATTGTTAATTTGAATACTCTAACCCTTTGTATATCAACTTGTAATAGGATGGCCCCTCCCACGCTGCACCAGATATACCCCCTTCCTGAGGTGGAGTACGATGACCCCCTTCTTCCACCGGACGATGAGGTTTCAAAGAGGCGTTCGAGGGATCCTTACATTCCTAGGACTTAGTTCATTATGTCGTACTTATGTCGAACGAATATTGTCGTCCTCTGAACTGATGAAAATGTTATGTGGCAACTTGTCGTCCATTTATTTGCTTCATATTCGTTTCAACTTGCGCACAGTCGCGACAGCAATTATAGTTGTTTATAGCACCGACAGCAGCTCCCGTTCAGTTGCAATTGAGGTTGGTCGATTTTTGTCCACGTCTAGGTGCTGCCACGCCGTAAGTCATGGCGCGTCATTGCCGCGTCGTGGGCTATGGCGCGGCAGAACCAGTGTCGAATCGTATTCGAAATAATTTCACTCGATTATGTTCGTTTTAGAAATTCTCAACGCATGATACAAACGGATGGGATCACTTAAGATCGACCATGGGTAATCCGAGTACATGATACATGGGTACAATACATCAGTAGTTCAAATGGATTATAAGACAACATAATGGAATTTCTACTACATAGCTACATTGATCATTAATAAAGCATGGAACTAACCGTCAGCGTAATTAAAAACCCTCAGTCAGAAACATACTGAGTAAGCAACTCGTCGTCCGAGTACCAATCCTCAACCACAACCCTATTGCTATGGCTAGGCTCACCTGCATTGCCCTGATCTGCCTTTCGCCTGTAGTAAGCGGCCTCCGCTTCATCTGCGGCCTGAGTGAAGAACGCGTCGTCATCCTCCTCCGCCTGCAAGCCCGCCTCTGCTAGAGCGATGAGCTCACTCAGTCTATCAGTGTCGTCCTCAGCCTCCTCCACCTGCAAGCCCGCCTCTACTAGAGCGATGAGCTCGCTCAGTCTACTAGTGTCGTCTTTAGCCTCATCTGCCTGCAAGCCCGCCTCTGCTAGAGCGATGAGCTCGCTGAGTCTGGCAATGTCGTCCTCATCATCGTCCCCCTCATCAGACAACACAATCGGTGATTCAACGGTGCGACCAGCTCACTTTCTATGCTTATCTAACTTCTTTTCCTCGTACCTTGCACGAGCCACCTCTGCAACAAGGTCCTCGCTGCATCCAATCCCTTCATGTATAAAATGCAATCAGTTAGCAATGCGACTATATTACATTTAAAATCAGGCAACGAAAAAAAGGCTTCGAAGTACTCACTGGCACATAATGAAACAACATGCTCGTTCGAGACCTACATATGTACTCTTGTCTCCTCCCTTGCCTTCTTCCTTGCCCTCTCCTTCTCTAATGTCATCAGTCTCTCCAATCCCCATTTGACAAGCCCAACGTCGATCGGGTTACAAATACCGCTCTGTCTAGCAAACTCACGCATCTTGTCTTTGTGATGTTTAACGAAAAGGTTGACGTAGTCAGGTTCATATCCCCTCTTTCGTGCAATTACTTGCTTCCCCTTCAGTTCATCCAAGAACTTAGCTTGACCATTATAACATTCCCACCTGTATTTCCTAGTGCTCTGTTCAAACGATAAATTATATCATATATGTCTTAGCAAAAGAAACAAAATACGATTTCATGGTTACCACAAAAATAACCAACCTCATCATAGTTAATCATATGGCCGCAATACTGGTCTATTCCAAGCTCCGAAGGGACTAGACCGTAGTTGGATTTAACACCACATTCGTACTTGACTGGCGGTGCTTTGTAAATTAACCTTTCTTTCTTCTTTTGCTTTACTTTTGGAGGTTCTTCAGACCATTTGTTCTTAGGACCATACAACCACTCCTTGAAACGACACTTTGTCATTGAATACACCTAAATAACATGACATTAGTACATGACACATATAGCTCAACATTTCAACACATACACTTTGCACTTACTTCATGCTTGTTTGGAAACACAAACTCCAACGTATTGTTAGGGTTTATCACGGCTTGGTCTCCGCAATGGCACAGAGGAGGTTCCTCGAGTCGTCTAACTGCGGCTAAGTGCTTCTCCTTAGCCATCATTGGAGAGGGGTTAGGGGGAGGTGGAACCCACCGCTCGAAGTGCTCTCGTAGATGTCACCATCTCCACCAATCGTGGAAAAGGAGGTACCTGGGGTCAAACTTGTCTGCACCGTCGATCCACTAAAAGAAAAAGCACCTCTCATGGTCCTACACAACAAAAATTCAACAAAATATTAGTAACCTAGTAATACAAATGAAGAAGAAAAATATACGGAAACAATTAATTACATTAAAACGACCGTACGTGTAGAAGCAACGAGTCGCTGTGTCTGGATGTCTCGATTGAAACACGTCGGCCGGACGACCACAGTCACAGTTAGGGACAGAGAGTTCAGGAGGGACGGGGGCATATTTGCTAGACTCGTCGGGGTACAATTCTCTAAGACGACCCCGTTTTCGCCATAACTGCTCCCGAAACATATCTTCCATCTAATAAAATGGTTCAAATTAAACATCAATCAAAACAACACAAATTAATGTAAAATATAATCATTTGCAATGCAACTAAAATAATATAACCGATAATTATAGCAACAAAAATATACATGGTAAACATACTTCTAACTAAATAATTAACCTTAACATTGACAAAATCAAACTAATATCTTCCTTCAAACCGTTGACCATAGTTCACAAACATAATTTTCCTCCTAAACTTAGCTCCCATTCATAATATACTATCCACCATTCAAACGAAAATAAAATGTACGTCATTACCTTGCACGAGGACGAGGAGGGAGGGAGGCGGCCGGGGAATGGAAGGGAAGGGAGGGAGGCGGCAATGGAGGGCCGGGCGGGGGCCGGGCTGCCGGCGTTCGTGGCGTGGCAGCCCGCGTGCTCGGCGGTGGGCTGGCGTGGGCGGACGCGGGCGCAGCGGCCAGGCGGCCTTGCTGCTTGGGTAGTGGGACTGGCGGCGGGGGTTTTATTCGGCTCTGCCGCGCCACGGATCAGGGCATGGCAGTGCCGCGCCAAGATCGGTGGCGCGGTAGGCCCTGCCCCGTTAGCGGTCAGCGATTCCGGTCGGCGCCACGTCAGCCCTCTGCCGCGCCACCATGCATGGCGCGGCACAAGCATTTGGCCACGCCAGGGCAATAGGCACGGCTAAAAGTGTTAGTTAAAAAAACCCGACCGTGTTAGATTTAAAATTAGTTTTCAAAAAGTGTTAAAATTAAAAAAATTTCCAAATTGTCAAGGTGTTTTTGTGGTACCTTGCATTTCATAACAAGAAGCTCAGAGTCTAGATTCAATGATTCATGAACTGTGTGATAGGTTTTTCTTTTCCCCAATTTAGAACTTCCTTCATCCTCGCTATGTGCCCAATGGAGGAGAGTTAAAAGATAAAGACGATGGTCTTGTATGCTTTTGTAATTTTCCCCATGAATATATGTAAAATTATGTAGATTAACTGCATAACTTAAAATTGTGTCACCAGAGTACCAGACTTGCTAAGTACTTCGATAATATATATTATCATTAGTGCTAGCACATCATGTTAAGTGACCGTATTTGATGTTTGCATCAGGGACTGTGGAAAAGTCAAAAAATAATTATGCCTCTTTCTCTGAGATACTGTGCTTCTTAGTTTTGATTTGCTTTTACTGTGGTGCAGGGATGCCAAGAATATCCTGATTCTGCAGTTTGTTTGGGACATATTCAAGGGCATCCGAATAATCAACTGGTTCATGTAAAGCTATTACAAGTCAGATGTCCAAATAAACAGGCACTTTTGGAGTATCCCAATGCTGGTAATGATATATGCATTGATATGTCAAACGAGATTAATGAAATGCACTACCATAGGACCAAAGTCTTGGTTGCTGCTAAAACTGTTAGTACAAAGAGGAGGCAAGTGGAAACTCTAAACTATGCCACATATCAGGCAGACGCACAGCAATCCTATCATTCAGTTAATGCAGAACATACAGACTATGCAATCCATGTTGGAGAGGCAAGAAATGAATCTATTAGTCATGCAATTCACAGAGGTGTGGGGCACGTTGAGCTGATTAAGGAGAAAACTGTGGTAAGGCATCCGGACCAGGTACCTGGTACCACTGTTGGCCCAACACCTGTAAGTGTGGAGAAGAGGCAGGTTGAAACTTTGAACCAGATCGCACGGGAGGGAGAGGGAAGGACCGGGCCACCCAAATTGCTTAGTCCTACTGAACAGGGCCCAGAACATTGCAATGATAGCATTCAGAGAGAGGAGGATGAAACTCAGATGGGCCAGCTGACTGCAAGATTGGCCCCATAAGAGCACAAAGAGGAATTTAACGCCTTCATCAAATAAAGGGTTAGAGCATCTTCAGGTTTGTCAGTATGATTTGCCAACTCTCAAAATTATATGCCAAGTAAAAAAAACAATCCATCTTCAAGTTTGATATTTTGACTTGGTAAAATAAAAACCCAATCTGCTGCCACTACATACTACGAATCTCATGAAAATGAGGCTGTTTGTCCAAGTCAAACTATATCTGATTCTCAAGGTTCTGAAAAGTCAGCCATGATTCCTCTAATTCATTGCATCAACACAATATGCCTCATAGAAGCTCCAACGAGGCAGACAATCATCATGCCACCACACAGTCTGTTTCTTCGATTCCTGATATGTCCGATCATGAAAGCTTTGCACGTTATTACAGTAAAATATGCCCTCCAGGAGTTAGGAGAGCTCTCGAAAGGGGTCCTAATTTAGGCCATGCTGGTATGGCATATTAATTTTCCTTTTTTTTGTTGATCTTTAATATCTTAATGGATGATGAGCCGACTCCAGAGGAACTGATGGTTCTTTTATGCATAGATTTAAGTAGATAGAAAAGGTTGTGACATGTGAGTAAATTCAGAGATATACTAATTAATTATGGTTAGGGTTTTTCGATTACCGCAATTAGTCTCGGTTTTTGCTAGATCTTAAGCAATTAGTATCTGACTAAGCAATAAGAAGGAGGTGATTTGGGCAAAACTCGAGAAAAGTCCCAAAAATCCTCAATTTTCCCCAAATCAAGAACCCTAACCCTAAAGATTAAGCATCTGATTTTGAGATTGAGATTTTCGGGCTCACCTGTGCGGCTCGTATCCGGTTTCCAGGCCGGGTGGGCGGATGATCGCGCTGCCCCAGAACTGCGTATGCGGACGGCTCGTACCCGGCGACCTTAGGCCGGGTCGCCGCCGCTGTGCCGGCTAAGCCGCGCCCAGCCGCGCGAGCACGTGGCTCGTACTCGGCACCTCAGGCGGGGTCACCACCGCCATGAAGGGGAGCAGCACGTGCGCCCTTGAGGCCGGCCGCCGCCGTTGCGTGTCTGCTCTGGGCAAGCAAGCGCCGCCATGCATCATGAGCCGAGGCCTCCGCCCATGGGCTTCAGGGCACCAGCAGGGCCACCAGACGGAGCCACTTACAGCGAGCTCTGCCACACACGCTTAGCCACCGGTGGCCGTGCCGGCCCAGGCATTCATTGTTAACCAAACCGATCGGTTCGGTTCGTCGGTTTTATAGTAAATTCGGTTACCTAGAAACTGCAAACCGATCGGTTCTTTTGAAAAGTGAGAACCGAGCAATTCGGTTTCGGTTCTTTTTGGTTCGGTTTCGGTTATCACCGAACTAACCGATTCTAAATTGAAAATCCAGAAAATACATAGATCGATGACCAAATTCAACAAAAAAATAGAAGATGTAGATCCATTCGCCTCTGTCATGCACACAGGCGTCGATCGCCGAGGGGAGAAGGAAGTAGCGGGCACGCGCCGCCACGTCGGTCGCCGGGGTAGGGAAGGAGGTAGGGCCGGCCCGCTGCGCCGGCTATCGGGGTGGGGAAGGAGGAGGAGCGCCGTGGGTCGGGCCAAGGAGCAGGAGCGCCGCCCCGCAGTTCGCCTCGCCCTGCTTGCTGCGGCGCGGGGTGGGGAAGCAGGGGCCATGCGCCGGTCGCCGGGGGGAGAAGGAAGCAGCGGCCAGCGGGCACGCGCCGCCGCGTCGGTCGCCGGGGTAGGGAAGGAGGCAGGGCCGGCCTGCTGCCCCGGCTATCGGGGTGGGGAAGGAGGAGGAGCGCCGTGGATCGGGCCAAGGAGCAGGAGCGCCGCCCCGCAGTTCGCCTCGCCCTGCTTGCTGCGGCGCGGGGTGGGGAAGCAGGGGCCATGCGTCGGTCGCCGGGGGGAGAAGGAAGCAGCGGACCGGAGGGGAGGGGCCGCACGCCGTGGGGTAGCGAGGAGCCGAGGAGGGGAGTGGGGAGCGGCGGCGGCGGGATTGGGAGTGGGGACTGGAGAGTGACCGAGGACTTGAGGAGAGTGAGTGAGTGACCACTGAGGACTTAGGGTTTACCTTGGGCTGGGCTGTATTCTATGGGCCACGGCCATCAACGAGCGCAGAGGCAGAGCTCAGCTTCAATTCGGTTATTTCAGGTCATTTCAGTTAACCGAGTCCTAGAACCGAATTAACCATAATAATTTCGGTTCCTGGGAATCTGGAACCGAACCTAGAACCGAATATTTCGGTTCCAGTTAGTTCGGTTTGATTCTCGGTTTTTGGTTTTTTTTGCCCAGATTGACCTCGCCGAGCTGTGCTCTCCCTCTTTTCTCTGCTGTTCGTGAGTGAGCTGGAGGGGAGAGGAAAGAAGAGTAACGGCTGAGAGTGACAACTGAGCTGCTTTAGGATTCATCCCTATATTTATATGATCCTAATACAGATCTTGGCCGTCCATTTAAAATCAACGACTGAGATGATTTTAGCTCAAGGATTTGCTGAAGTGGGCCGTTGCTGAGCTTCAGGGGGAGGCCGCGCGGGCCTTACAGGCTGTGCACACTCAGCACTGCCGTGGGCCATTTGCTGGCCAAAAATTGAGTTTCTTTTTTACAGTATATGAGTTTGTTTTATTATTTAACAACAGTACATTACTTAATCATTTTAATTAGGTTTTGAGTTAATTAGTGTTATTTTCCATTATTTCTGAGTTCATTTTCTATTCATTTAAACTTGCTCACTGAGATATAGATCCACCAAGTACTTTTAAGATGATCTCTGATTAAATGGAACCAACGAGAAGTTTGATTGGAGATTTCGCTCATAATTAATTCTGACCAAAGTTGATTTAATTATGAGTTATTTAAGATGAATTTTGTTTTGTCTTCTGCCTAACGGTGATGCAAATTAAAGTTCTTAAGCATGATTTTATTTCTGACCAACGTTGACTTAATTTCGTGCTTTTAAGTTACATCTTTTCTGTACAGTATTAACTGAGACATTTTTTATATAGAAATTTTCAGTGAGCAATGTTGCGGGCCTCGTCAACACCATCGATCCCCTCAATGGCACCAACCTTCCTGTATGGAAGGAGAAGGTGTTAGTCATGCTCAGACTCTCTTAGTACGACCACGCACTACGTGAGGATAGGCCTTTTGCGCTCGATGAAAATGCAAATGCTGATGCATTAAGAGTACCACACTGAGCTTGAAAAGTGGGAAAAGAGCAACAGGATTGCTAGCATGATCATGAAGGCATTGATCTCGCTTGGCATAAAGGGAGCAATCCCTGATAAGAAAGAAGATGGTGAGAAGCTGACTGCTAAGGAGTTCTTGGCCTCTGTTGAGGAAAATTTCAAGAGCTCATCTAAGACTTATGCCAACACTCTCATCATGAAAATGTGTACCTCACGATATGATGGGCAAGGTGGAATTAGGGAACATATTATGAGCATGTGTGACATGCCCAAGACACCTTATGAATTGTGGACTGGGAGACAACCTACACTTAATTATCTGTGTGTGGGGGGTTATGGTGCTGAAGCTAAGTTATTTAATCCACAACTAAAGAAATTAGATCCTAAGACCGTGAGTTGTCGCTTTATATGATACCCTGATAATTCTAAGGGATACCGTTTCTATTGTCCTGATCATCATACTAAGTTTGTTGAGGCCAGGCAGGCTGTGTTTCTAGAGGATGCATAAATCATTGGGAGCTCACAAAGGCGTGAGGTTAATCTTGATGAGATAGGGCTGAATTACCTGTACCTATGACTCAAGAGACAACACCAATAATACATGAGCTTGTGCCAGAAGTTAGTGCACCTCCGCCTAAGACTACTAGCATTGAAATTCCTATTGAGAATCCTAATGTGCAAATTGATGTGCCATAGCAGTATGAGACAATAGCTGAGAATGAGATTCAGGCACATGAGCAGCCTCAACCTCAACTAGTTGTGATCCCTGATGAACCCGTAAGGAGATCACAGCGGGAGAGGAGATTTGCTATCCCAGATTACTATGAGACTTATCTAAGCGAAGATCTATATGATGTTGGGAAAGTGGATGATCCGGCTTCTTTTAAAGAGGCAATAACACATAAGAATTCAGATAAGTGGATTGAGGCTATGCAAGATGAGCTCAAGTCTATGAGCACTAACCAAGTATATGAATTAGTGGGCTATAAATGGGTCTATAAGACTAAGCGTGATTCCAAATAAAAAATTGAGAAATTTAAGGCTAGGCTCGTAGCAAAAGGTTTTACACAAATAGAAGGGGTTGATTACAATGATACTTTTTCCCATGTCTCAAAGAAAGATTCGTTCAGAATCATCATGGCGCTTGTAGTTCATTACGACTTAGAGTTACATCAGATGGATGTTAAGACTGCGTTCCTAAATGACGACTTGCATGAGACAATTTTCATGGCACAACCGGAGGGTTTTGTTGTGAAAGGCAAGGAGCACATGGGGTGCAGATTAAAGAAAGCTATTTATGGACTTAAGCAAGCGTCATGACAATGGTACTTGAAATTTGATGATGTGATTAAGAAATTCGGGTTCATTGAAAATCAAAAGGATAATTGTATCTACATTAAGACAAAAGGTGGACGATTCATTATCCTAGTACTCTATGTTGATGATATCCTATTAGCAAGTAACGATAAATAATATGTTATATGAGAAAGAATTTCTTGTCATCTAATTTTGACATGGAAGATCTTGGTGAAGCCTCTTATGTTCTTGGCATTGAGATACACCGAGATAGGACCAAAGGAGTATTAGGATTATCATAAAAGGCATATATTGAGAAAATGCTTGCAAGGTACAATATGGATAAGTGTTCTGCCACACCTATACCGTTTGCTAAGGGTGATAAATTTGGTGATTACCAATGTCCTAAGAATAAGTTAGAATTAGATGAGATGAGAGATAAGCCATATGATCCTGCTGTCAGAAGCCTTATGTATGCACAAGTTTGTACGCGTCTAGACTTGGCGTATGTAACCGGGATGCTTGGCAGATATTAGAAAAATCCAGGCTTGGTCCACTGGAAAAGTGCTAAGAAAGCTTTACGTTATTGTCTAGACACCAAAGATTTAATGCTCACATATCAGAGGTCAAATACTCTTGAAATTGTGGGTTATTCAGATGTCGATCTAGGAGGGTGTGTGGATAATAGGAGGTCCACAACAGGCTATATTTTCACCCTTGCTGGAGGAGCAATTTCCTGGAAAAGTTGTAAGCAAAGTATAGCAACATCGTCGACGATGCAAGCTGAAGTTATTGCTTGTTATGAGGCAACAGGCCAGGCTGTTTGGCTCAAGAATTTTGTCTCGGGCCTAAGAGTTATTGATAGCATTTCTAAACCACTTACTATGTACTACGGCAATCAGGTTGCGGTACTATTTTCCAGTAACAACAAACCAACGGATGGGTCAAAACATTTAGACCTAAAGTACTATATTGTGAAGGATAGAACCCAGGATCAAACTATTAATTAAAGTTGAGCACATAAGTACTAAGATGATGCTCGCGGATTCGCTTACGAAAGACTTACCACATAACCTATTTAAACAGCATGCACTAAGCATGGATTTAGTGGAGAGCCTCTGAGACTGGGTAATAGGGCCATGTACTCTCCCAATAAGTAATAAGCGTTCTAACAAGGTATTACAGTGAACTATGGGTAATGGGGGTCCCAATGACGATTAATGCCGCTGACGACGCATTGGTCTGGTCTTGCTGTAGTACTGAGTGTAAACATAAGTGTAAAGTGAATATTAGTTGCATAAGTGCATTAGCCGTTAGATCAAGTGGGAGAATGTTGGAATGTGATCGGTTCGGCTAATCCCGAACTTAATTACGAGATTAATTAAGAGTTAAGCTTTTGGTCCACCCACTCGTCATTTATTTTCAATTAAATAAGAATTGCCGTGATAGATGACAGCCCATAGAATTATAAGGGTTCGCCCCCTGGTCCACGACACGATTATAAATAAGAGAGGCACTTTTGGCGTCACTATCGCTCTAATCCTCGTGATTTTTCACATAACTTAGGCGCTGGAGGGTTCAAGAAGGTCCGTATCCCGTCTAGGTCAGTGCCGGTGGCAACCAGAAGGGCGCCGCTACCCGGTACGTCACGTTCGTCACCTGCAGCAGCCGGTGATCTTCCGTCAATCTACATCATCACCGACAACTGCATCACCACTGGAGGCGCTGATGGCGACTGCCAACACTAGTCTGGCACTATCTACTTAAGTATTTCCGCATTAGACGAGTTATGGTCATTTGTTAGACTATGTATAAGATCCTGTGTACATGTGCTACATGTTTTATGCTAAGCCCTTGTTTAGTTGGGTGAATTTGGATTTTGGGGCTACTGTAGCACGTTTGTTTTTATTTGACAAATAGTGTTCAAACATGGACTAATTAGGCTCAAAACGTTCGTCTCGCAATTTTCCACCAAACTGTGCAATTAGTTTTTATTTTTGTCTACATTTAATGCTCCATGCATGAGCCGTAAACATTCGATGTGACAGATACTGTAGCAACTTTTTGGACTTTGGGGTCCAACTAAACAAGGCGTAAGATTAGATTCAACAGTGTATGCTACAGACTTTGAGCTGGCAAATAGCCCTTCTCGTAGAGCATGTCGTAGGACCTGATCAATCGGAACCAGGCCGCGCTGCTTGTCTGCAGGACGAGCGTCGGTATCCCAAGGCCGACGGCCACCTTCTGGATGCCTGTGAGTGTGCAGTCGAGGATGAGACACGCCAGCCGGGGCTCCCCCTCCTCCGGCTTCAGCAGCGACGCGAGCACGCTGCGGGCGCACTCCGCCATGGCCGGTGCCTCCACGACGGCGTTCAAGGCGAGGATCTTGGCTATGCCGTCCTTGGTCGTGGCGACCACGTCGGAGATGGCGTCGGGCACGGCGACGAAGGAGAACCCGGGTGGCGTGCGGGGTCCGGGGCGTTGAAGGTCGTGTGGAGGACGGTGATGTTGAGCCCCCGCGCATGGAGCGCGCCGGCAAGCTGCAGCATGGGGCTGATGTGGCCCTGGAACGGCAGCGGAAACAGCGCGACGCGGGCGGCGGGCCTGTGCCTGTCTACTCCGGCCATTCTCGCTCGCCGTCGCGGCCTGGGGCGACGTTGCTTGATAGGCTGCAGGATGACTACTCGGATTTCCTCGGTGTTGCAGCTTGAAATGGCCGTGCATATTTATATATCAGCGGTAAAATATGATCTACTGATGGCGATGGGCAATACTGTCGAGTGTCAACTATCTTTGGAGCTTCTCGGAGAGCATCTCCGAGAGTATCTCAAACACTTTCCCAATTCATGATTTTTAGTAGGATAGAAAAAAAATCATCTCCAACAACTCATAATCCCGTCTCTTAATCTTCTAGCACTTGGAAAAAACCCTCAAAGATGCGCGGACTGGAAGTCGTGTGTATCCACTCGCGCCGATCTAAATGTGCGTACGGTGCGACCAATTAAAGGTAGAAGGGCGGAGAAAGAATAAAAAGTAGTAAAGGTTCCTGATGCAAATGTACAAGAGACAAACAATTTATAAATGTGATTAGAATAATTTAGAAATAGTATAGGATTTCTGATATAAAATTATATTCTTATTTTAGCAGTGGATTATTAGAAGCTGTTGGAGATGATCTTATTTATTACCCCCAATACCTTTTTAGGAGTTAAAAAACAATATGCTTTTTAAAGACAAAATAGGGTACTCTTGAAAATGCTTAACTTCATAAAGCCACAAGGATACACGGCAGGGTCAAACTGCTGATGCCCACTACTGCTCAAATGGGTGGAAACGGCCAATAGTCATTGACGTATCACCAAAGACCGATCATCATCTATATACTCAATGAACCATACATCCATGAGTTCCTGTAGTTTGATGAGGTTCAGCAAAACAAAAAACAAAAACTAAGTAAGATATAAGAATCATCAATAACCATGAAGAATATAATAAGAAAATAACAAGACAATTGTGAGCAATCATTCTTATTTCAAATTATAGATGATATTGATGAACTATTTTAATCGTGTTGTTGTCTAAACAACACATATAAGCACTGCATATTCTTCATGCAAAAAAAGAGAATAAGCAACCTAATTAACTAACTAATGTACCACTAAACAAGTATTTTTTTACTTTCTTAATTGTAATAAATAATTTTAAAGAAAATATTTACCACCAGTTAATATTTTACCCATTATTGTTCATGTAAACTTAATCCAATTTATTAAAAAAATAATATGAACGTTGACAATAAAAAACTAATCCCAAACTCAAGTTATAGATCTAGACCAGGATCCAAACCAATCCCTACCTAAAAATTAGTAAATGGAACACTAAAATCAAGACATGGGCACTAAATAAGGGTATAATCTTGTTCCCCGACTAAGTTCACCGTATACTACCTTCAAAGATTTGATATAATTTCATCCATAAATGCCTCAACCACCACTAAAACTTCAAAAGAGGCTTGGAATAGCATTTACTTATCTTCTAAAGCCTCCTCTACCAAATAAATCAAAATAAAAAACCATCCCCCTTAGATATGCAATTTTTTGGGAGATAGGCCCCCTTAGTTGCTCATTGGATTATAGTAAATTTTCCTAGGAGGAAGAAGGGGAGCTGCTACATACTTGGAGCTTTTGTAGAGTGGGCTCTATATACAACCGCCTCTATAAATGATCTTAAGAGGCGACTATTATTATTTATCGCCTCTAAAGATGCATATGTAGAGGTGGCTGGCTGCATCTTCAAAAGCGTATTGTCAGCCAAAATGCCTCCTGTTGCTACAAATCAATTTTGGGGCAGTGGAGTAAAATATGCGAGCGGTTCATCATGGTGTCATTCAGATCCCTGAACTATCAGAATGTATTTCTAGGCACCCAAACTTGTCTTGGGGTGTCATCAGCTCTCAAAATTTTTATTTTTAGGTCCTCGAACTCCATGCGGTGTGTCATCTTGGTTCAAATAAGCTCCCATCAATTCACATGTTGGTTTCTAGCGCTCATCTACATGCTCTCTCTCTCTTCTACCTCCATCTGCATGTTATCTCCCTCTCTTCATGTTCCAATCTAGTGTGGCATCACATCATACTCGCCAACTCGCCATCCCTAACCATGCCTTCGTCATCCTCCACATCAAAGGCCACGGCTTCATCTGTAGCGGTGGCAGTAAAGCCAAAACTAGTGCTCCTTAAACGAAAGAGGTTAGCAAAAGATTCCTTTGCCATTAAGCTCTTACCCTGGTCAAGAATGACATCTCCTTGTTAATCGCTTTTGCCACTGTGATATGGCGAAGGCAACAGAGCATCTGGGAATTATAGATCCTTGATGATTTCTATGACCGCGTCCTTCAAATATGGAATAAACTAGTGAACGCCTAAAAGTGAGTGCTTTGCACAGAAATTTGTGAGGGTGGACAGCATCATGCCAGACATTACAAAGCACAAAAAATTAAATTTACAAACAACTATTAATGAGCTCGATTTGAAGACTGAGATTTGTGAACTCTCTTAAGTGGAGCGAGACAACCTTTGTTCTTGTTAGAGATCAATTGACTTGGCTACTTAGATAATAGGAAATTCAATATTTGCAAATGCCTAAGGTGAAAAATGTCCTCCTGGGTGAAAATAACACACAATACTTCCAACTAATTGCTAATAGAAAACATAGGATGAAGCACATTTTCTTACTTAATTGTCCAGGAGGCGGGAAAGATCGAAGGACAGGAAAACCATAAAGAGCATATTACCAAGTTTTATAACTATTTAGTCCACCAGAGGAGTCCTTATTCTGCCCTAGATATTTCTTGGTTTGATGACACACCACAAGTAAAACCAGAAGAAAATCAATTTCTGACCTCCCGGTTCACTGAAAAGGAAACCCATGATGCAATTTTTGACATGAAACATAACAAAGCACTTGGCCCAAATGGCTTCATGGCTGAGTTTTATCAAAAAAATTGGGAAGTCATTAAAAAAGACTGGATCCTAGATGTTTCAAAATCTCCATAATGGGGATTTCACTACCACAACCGGCCACTGTAGGGGCGGCTAAAGAGCCTCTGTAGGGGCAGCTCAACCAGCCGCCTCTATCCAACCGTCTCTACAAATCAAAGATTTATAGGTGCGGTTTTCAAGCCACTCCTACAAATCGGATTTGTAGAGGCGGCGGGTAACCTCAGTTGCCCCTACAAATTGTTTTGTAAGGGCGGCTGGTATTGTCAGTCGCCTCTACAAATAAGATTTATAGGGGCAGCTTGTAACTACAGCCACCCCTATAAAGTTTTTTATAGGGGCGGTTTGAGTTTACAGCTGCCTCTACAATCCATTTTTCCGCAAAAAAAAAAAAATCAATTTTTCAATTTTAGTTTTGACCAGTACGCTCACTGTAGGGGCAACTGGTGATTGAGCCGCCCCTACTGAAAAAGGGGGCGTTGCTCAAATCTTTTTTGTAGTAGTCTTTGACATTACTTAGTTTGAACTTTGATGTTATCAACCTTATTCCAAAGGTGCTAGAATCAAATCGAATACAACAACATAGACTCATTTATTTGGTCAATGTGAGTTTTAAAATCTTCACAAGGTGGTTACTAATCAAGTTAATATGGTGGTTGATCACATCCTAAGCCAACTCAATCAACTTTCATGAGAGGACTCAACATCCTTGAATGGGTTGTTAACCTACATGAGACAATTCATGAACTCCACTGGAAAAAAACTAAATGGGCTCATTTTTTAAATAGATTTTGAGAAAGCCTATGACATATTAGATGGATTTTTTTCTACAAACTCTGTATATGAAAGGCACTAGTAGAGCTGCAGTCCCGGATGGGAAACCGATACTACAAATTCGGGACTAAAGGCCCGCCCTTTAGTCCTAGGCCAGTCAACGGGGAGTGGATGGGGACATTTAGTCCCAGTTGGTTATACAAACCGTGACTAAAAAGGTCTCTAGTCCAAGCCCGAAGGTGCCCACCTCTAGAACCGGTTGGTATAACCAACCGGCACTAAATGCCCTTTTTTGTTTTACTGTTTCTTTTCCATTCAATTTGTTTTCATTTCAAATAACTTTTCGTATACGTATTATATGCTATTATTACACGTCCATAACTCACCACCTTCATCATTCATGACCTCACTTGTCGTTTGCTCGAAGATGTCTCACACCCCGAGCAAGAATAGTGCTAATTCTAACCACTTGATCAGGGATATAGTCTTGACATATGCAACAATCATATTATGAATGAATAATGTATATATGCAAGAATCATATTAGCATGCAAAACTTTAAATATTCCATACTATAGATAGATCTGGGAAACGCGGAACGGCCCCATCTAGCGGTGGCGCAAATGGCAGAGCGCTAGGGTGGAAACCTGGTTCCAATGGTAGGGGAAGTCCGCCGCCATTCATCATACCTAAAAAACTGAAAAAAAACTTCCAAATAAATATAGAACCACATATAAATACCATGCAATATATTAGAGAAACATATATAAAATGTGTCAAGATTAATATGCGCCAAGTAAACTTAAACATATTTTGCAACCATTTTGCACCCTACTTGTTGGCACATAATTTATTTTAACGATTATTAACTCACATAAAATGCTAATGTTGGAAACAAAGATCTAGAAATGAGCTACATTATTAACAACAAAATATTAGAAGATAAAGTTGCTAACCTTTAGAAAGTAGAATAAAATGGAGGATCGAATATGTAACACCCCAGGTGTTTGGCTTCCACATTTGCACTGCATTTCATGGACATGAGCATCATTCATTCATTCACAAGCTTATATCACAT